GCTCAGGCGTGGAGGCAGATAGCGTCCCAACAGCACATTGAGCCCTACGAGAAAATGCAAAGAGATCAAGGACAACGTGGAAAGCTCCTTAGCGATCAGATTGACCCGGCAAGTGGAGATATAGGGCGAGGCACTCAACAGCATATTGCCTCTAGACAGCGTAATAAGCCCAAAAATTCCCCCCCAACCAATACTTTTTCAATCAACGAAGAATGAACTTCGTTTACTTATGAACTCTGTACTTTTGCTAACAATGGTTCTTGGTCGCCTATGGGCCCCAAATCGTCCATTTTTTTTTGTTTGTTTGTTTTGTTAAGCAATCTGCTTCCGTCTGACCGGTTATGGACCCCTTTGGAGCCTTCAGGTACCCTCGGCATGGTCCAAGGGGATGGTCCCGTGCCTCCCCCCCCCCCCCCCTCCACCCTCGGCATCCGCCACCGGCCCGAGCAGCTGAATGGATGGGGCCCGCCAAGAACATAAGCTCACTCATTCAAATAAGAAATACTCACGACGCAATGTGTAGGACTCTGAGCATCAAGTGCGCCGGAGCAAGCTAACATATAAGGCCCCCGTCAAGAGCGTGACGCCCTCCATTCAAATAGAAAGTATCCAAGACCCAATGTGCGGGGCCCCCGAATGATCGAACGTGCCCGAGCAGGTTAACAGACAGGATTCCCAAAAAGAGCGTAGGGCCTTCCATTCAAATAGGAAGTACCCAAGACCCAATGTGCAGGGCCCCCGAATGATCGAGTGTCCCCGAGCAGGTTAACAGATAGGGTCCCGGCAAAAGCGCAATGCCTTCCGTTGAAATATGAAATATCTCGACAGAATGTAGAGGACTCCGAATAATCGAGTGCGCAAGGGCAGGTTGATAGATAGGGCTCCGAAAAAAGCGGGGGGCACCCATTAAAAAAGGAAGTACCCAAAACCAGATGTAGAGGTCCCGCACGATCAATGGACCCGAACATGTTATCAAAAGCGGCCCCGAGAGGAGCGTAATGCCCTCCATTCAAAAAAGCACCCAAAACCTGGTGCGGAGAGCCCCCAAAAGATAATGTGTGCCCGAACAGGTTATCAGGCAACTGGGTGGGAACAAGACCCTAAATTCAAACACCAAGAACCAATGTGCAGCCCCCCCCCCCGCCCCCCCCAGCAATCCAGTGTGGCCGAGGAGGCAAACAGAGGAGGCCCCCGACAAGTGCGTAGGGCCCCATTCAAATAGCACGTGCCCAAGGCCCAATGTAGGAGGCCCCCAAACGACCAATTGTGCCCGAGCCAGGTTATCAGATAGGCCCCCGACAAGAGCGCAAGACCTACCCCCCGCATTTCAAATAGGAGTACCCAATACCCAATCTGGAGGGCTCCCGGATGATCGATTGTGCCCAAGCAAGGTAAAACAGATAAGGTTCCCAAAAAGGGCGTAGGGCCCTCCATTCAAATAGGAAGTTGTCAAGACCCAACGCAGAGGACCCCCCGAATGATCCAGTACGCCAAGAGCAGGCTAAAAAATAGGACCCCCACAAGAGCGTATGGGCCCCCACCCCACTTCAGAAAAAGTAAGTACCCAAGACCCAGTGTGGAGGATCCCCGAACGATTGGGTGCGCCCAAGCAGGCTTTAGAGGGCTTCCGACAAGAATGTAATGCCCTAAGCAACTGGCAAAGAACGGGAAACGCCCTAGACCAATGTAGAGGGCCCATGAGCACATCGCAAGTATGTCGGTAAGTTAACCGAGACCCACATAAAGGGCCCCTGAGCAACCGAGAGTATCCCGGCAGGTTAGGATATGGGACCCAGCTTTAGCTCACAGAGTCTTTCGGCGAATGGAAAGAATCCGTAGAAGCGCCCGTATTGACTAGAGTGCACCGGCACGTTAACAGGGAGGGCCCCAACAACAGCGCAGGGTCCTCCGAGCAACTGCAAAGAGATGAAGGGCAACGTGGAATGGCCCTTTACGATCGAAATAATCCTGCAAGTAGCCATATAGGTCGCCCGAAAAGGGCATGGGGTCCCTAGACAATGAAACGAGGATTAAAATTTCCAGTTCACAACTATTCCAATCAGTGAATGACTTTTGACTTATAAAAAGCCCCTCGCTTTCGCTTATAACTATTCTTGGTCGCCGGAACGGAAAGCAGAGATATACACAGTTTTGTTGCGTTTTGTGTTAAAAAAACTGCACCTGCTCTGTTGGCCATGGGCCCCCCTGTATTTGAATTGTGATTCGAATACATACAATGCTACGGTTACAGTTACGAGCGTACAACCAAACGTTACAGAATCGGACAGGACTAAGCAGCCGACCCTTCGACCACGCTCCTTCGCGCCACCCGGCGGCCGCCGCCGCTGCCGCCAGCGCCGGCAACCAATCCTTCTCGCACTGCACTGCTCGTGCGGTTCTCGTGCCGCTTACGCGGCCGGGTACCGCCGCCCCCGCACGGCCGCACCCCCCCCCCCCCTCCTCGGAGCCAAACGGGCCCCTTCGGGCCCCACAGGGGGGGGAGGGGCATGGCCCCGTGCCCCCCTTGCATCCGCCCATGTCCTCAAGTTTCTCCAGCAGGAATCCAGTATGGACCGGCCAGCTCGCTCGTAATTAAACAGGACTTTGAAGCTTCGCCTGGTCCGTAGCCATTATCTGCATCCATATTGAACAAGAACAGCGTTCGGAATGATGGTCACATTGGTTACATTGCCCTTGGTAAGTACTACTCACCTTAGTCACCAGATACATATCGCGCTCCAAATGGAATGCATTACTTAAGCAATGCAACTGAGTTCCCTGCCCGTCCCCCTCGGATCAAATGGCAAAAAATGACATGTGTATCCGATAGCAAGCGGTCTCAGGCTCTCTGGTGGTCGCCTTGTCCAGTGCCCCGACCTCAGTTATGCGGCACGCTCGGTTATGTGGAGGCGCTGCCTGGTACATCTCGGAATCTCTGCCCAGCTTTGTTTGTCTGCACTTGCCCTTTGGTGCCTGCAGACGCCACAAAAAGGTAGCCGCAGAGTGTCCCTGGCTCAGTTGTCTCAGCCACGTTTTACGTTTAAGAAGCTCAATCGAGTGTTTTGAACTGCCCAAAAAATAACAGGGCGGTCGGCTTCAGGCCCGGCCGCCATCTCAAGGCGCCGGAGGGGAGGGAAAATGACCCAAAAAGGATACGATACTGCACTGGTTCCAGTGTTACTGCCCTGGCGCTGATACAATGGATATGACACTGCACTGGTTTAGTTGCTCTTGGTTTAGTTGCCACTGATCCGGCTGGCCTGGGTAATTTATGACAAGCTCATTTTGTCCTGACTCATTCTTTCCTGGTTCTTTGCCACTGGCTGAGATGTCACTGGCTCAGCTGTCACTGGCTCGAATGTCACTAGCCTACCGAGCACCCTTCAGCTGTCACTGACTGAATTATCACCGGTTCATTTGCTCTGACTCGGCCTAGTCGTTAGCCCTCAATTGTCGCTGGCTTAATCGTCTTGGGCGGGGCAATCAGCTCATATTATTTGAAATAAACTTTTTACAGGCTTTTTAAGATAGATGCTTCTTTAGAGTATCTCAGTAGTAAATGTATCAGTCTTTATCAATCTTTTTGAGATTGATGTATCTTCGATATGTCTTTTGTGACGTCGGCCTAGTGCTATTGTTGACGCGAATATCGAATGGTAAAGTACTCTCTTAGAAGGATTACAGGTCCATCTACGCTGTCTTAGTGATATGAATGCATTTTAGGCGGGACCTCCTGAATACAACCCATCCCCGCACTCGAAGACAACATCGGCAATCATGGCGGCGACAGGGGTGTTACCTTTTGTCCGAGGAATCGACTTCACAAAAAATGATTTCGAGGTAAGGTGCCATCAGTGGTAGGATAGTAGATTCGAGGTCATATGATTACAATAAATGTTCACTGTTATTCACCGCTATGTGCATTAACAACGAAAAGTAATAAATTAGATGCGCAAATTTTGTCTACGACTTATACACTGCATGTTTTGATTTCCTGATTGATTAAGTTTTTGTAACACTTAAGCGTAGCTTGGCTGATGGATGTGTGAGCAACGAAATCAAGACATAACCTTGCCATTTCTGTGTGGTGATGCCATGAGATTTTGTTAACAGAGAACTCTGTAATTCTGTGTCCCCCCTTCCTGGTTGTTGCGTACATCATCACCATGTTTTGCAATCGTCAGACAGAAGAATTTCCTGCATCAGTGGGGAAAATGACTGGCTTGCGATGGCTGAAGCTGAACAGAACAGGACTGAAGAGCATACCAGAGGAGCTGGGCAGTCTACAAAAACTGGTAAATAAAGGTTACCTGTAAACTAGTGGGCACTGGATGGTCATGAGAGTTGGAAGCATGTAACTAAGGCCCTTTATGCCAGCCTGTTTTTTCCATTTAGATGGCTGGTGGAATTGATATCTAAGATAAGTCTTAAGGTGATCTCATGGAAATGATGATGGAATTGGTACATAATTGTAATCTAGCATGGGCTCGCAGTCAAATAATAGACAATATGTAATTCCAATTTGAGTAATTGAGTCAGCAAAGCCCTGTGTTGATTATACAACAAGAGTTTAGGAAGCCTGGTTTAAAAAGTATACCTAGCTACTCCCAGATATCTCTCTTGCTGCAGCTTTGGATTAGAACACTGCTCTGTGGAACTGGTCCTTGCCTTGCAATGTAGATGCATTCCGACCAAAACTTATGATAGATATTATAGAATGAAAACAAACAATAAAAAAAGATAGCAGGATCAGTAGGGTACAACTAAACCCTGTTTTTATTGGCAAGTCACAAGTGGTTAAATTACAACAACTCATATTTACCTCAAAATCATTTCTTGGAAGGCCCTACTGATGTGAAGTATTATGGCAGGTATCCTTGATTCTTGTATGCCATTAAATATTTCTTATCCAAAGCTACTGATTTCTTTTTAGTGGTGTTTTAGGGCATATCAACTGCAATGTCTATTTTGCACCCATCTTTGAAGCTACTGGAACCACCTGTTGATTTTACTTGGCTTGCAAGTCAGACACTCATGTGCATTGTTAGATATTGGCTGCTCATTATGTCTGGTTTGTGCTGCTGCTCAATCCATACCTTATAAGCAGAAGCTTGCAGGGGCTGCAGGAGGCAGGATAAGGCCCATCCCGCCCTGGGGTATACAGCATGATATGCAGGAGACCACCATGCTGCAGGGATTGTGCTCATGGAGTATGCCTCCCTCTAGAAATGTCTCGCCTTCCCTTCAGAAATATGACGGCTTCCCCTCACAGTGACAGGACTTGACTCACACTGAGATGCATTTTGCTATGGAACCCTCCCCCACCAGCTGGCTTGTGTGATATTTGTGGGGTGTGCATGTGTGTGTGTGTGTGTGTGTGTGTGGATGTAGCATCCTTGGGCTTAAAGATTTGGCTCGGTGTGGATTCAGTGATGACCTGGAGCAATTATTGGCTATTTCATTTCATCACATCAGACCTCATTCTGGGCGAACCCGAACCACGACTCCCAGGCTGACTTGGAGTGACACCACGTCGCCTGTTGTGCCGCGCCTCCCTTCGCTCTTGTCTGTCTATCTCTGACACATCCCCTGTATGGTGCAGGAACACCTGCACATGATGCACAATGAGCTGGAGAAGGTGTATGGCGAGCTGACGCAGCTGCCGTCACTGCGCTCGGTCAACCTGCGTCACAACCGCATCCGCACGTCGGGCCTGCCGGCCGAGGTGTTCCACTCGGATGAGCTGACCACGCTCGACCTCAGCCACAACGCGCTGAAGGAGGTGCCCGAGGGGCTGGAGCGGGCGCGCTCCCTGCTCAGCCTCAACCTCAGCCACAACCAGTGAGTGGGCTGGAGCAGGCGCGCTCCCTGCTTAGCCTCAACCTCAGCCACAACCAGTGAGCGGGCTGGAGCAGGCGCACTCCCTGCTCAGCCTCAACCTCAGCCACAACCAGTGAGTGGGCTGGAGCGGGCGCGCTCCCCACTCAGCCTCAACCTCAGCCACAACCAGTGAGTGGGCTGGAGTGGGCGCGCTCCCTGCTCAGCCTCAACCTCAACCACAACCAGTGAGTGGGCTGGGGCAGGCACGCTCCCTGCTCAGCCTCAACCTCAGCCACAACCAGTGAGTGGGCTGGAGCGGGCGCGCTCCCCGCTCAGCCTCAACCTCAGCCACAACCAGTGAGTGGGCTGGAGCGGGCACGCTCCCTGCTCAGCCTCAACCTCAGCCACAACCAGTGAGTGGGCTGGAGCAGGCGCGATCCCTGCTCAGCCTCAACCTCAGCCACAACCAGTGAGTGGGCTGGAGTGGGCACGCTCCCTGCTCAGCCTCAACCTCAGCCACAACCAGTGAGTGGGCTGGAGTGGGCGCGCTCCCCGCTCAGCCTCAACCTCAGCCACAACCAGTGAGTGGGCTGGAGTGGTGGAGCGGGCGCGCTCCCCGCTCAGCCTCAACCTCAGCCACAACCAGTGAGTGGGCTGGAGTGGGCGCGCTCCCTGCTCAGCCTCAACCTCAGCCACAACCAGTGAGTGGGCTGGGGCGGGCGCGCTCCCTGCTCAGCCTCAACCTCAGCCACAACCAGTGAGTGGGCTGGAGCGGGCGCGCTCCCCGCTCAGCCTCAACCTCAGCCACAACCAGTGAGTGGGCTGGAGCGGGCATGCTCCCTGCTCAGCCTCAACCTCAGCCACAACCAGTGCGTGGGCTGGAGCAGGCGCGCTCCCTGCTCAGCCTCAACCTCAGCCACAACCAGTGAGTGGGCTGGAGCGGGCACGCTCCCTGCTCAGCCTCAACCTCAGCCACAACCAGTGAGTGAGCTGGAGTGGGCGCGCTCCCCGCTCAGCCTCAACCTCAGCCACAACCAGTGAGTGGGCTGGAGTGGTGGAGCGGGCGCGCTCCCTGCTCAGCCTCAACCTCAGCCACAACCAGTGAGTGGGCTGGAGTGGTGGAGCGGGCGCGCTCCCCGCTCAGCCTCAACCTCAGCCACAACCAGTGAGTGGGCTGGGGCGGGCGCTCTGAGGTCGCGCTCGCCGACTGGCCGGTGGATGGGCGTACGGTAGCCGTGTTGGGATGAGGAACAGATATGATGGTGTTTTGCTTGTAAAGAGATGCCAGCAATGTCTGTCTATTTTCAGGCCATGTCAAAAGACAAGTGTTTGGTAAACTATGCAGGCCCAGCATGATATCTGATTGCCTCAGTTTTGACAGGCGAGACTTTGCAAGACTTTGAAACATGAGAGGATTTGCCATCTGTCATGTTGACGTAACTGATGTGGTTGAGTTGAGCATGGGTCTCACCAACTGCACCTTCCGCAGAATTGAGGTCATTCCCAACCAACTGTTTGTCTACGTCAACGACATCCTCTTCCTGGACCTGAGCAACAACAAGTTCGAGTCGCTGCCGCCGCAGACACGGCGCCTGGTGAACCTGCAGACGCTCATTCTGAACGACAACCCCATGGGCCACTTCCAGATGCGGTCAGTGGCGGCGGCGGGGCGGACAGACGGGGTCCGCGGCCGGGCTGGTGGCGGGCCCCATTCCGGGCCGTCTCGGGTTGTTGAAGTCGCGCTCGCGGGGTGAACCGATTCTGGTCCGAGTCTGGTACTGTGGGACGGCGCGGTGTGTCCGCGTCGGCGGGCTTGGGGAGACCGGCCAGTCAGGTGTGATTGTACTCTTTTGTTGGACCGCGGTCGGTTGATTAGGCGCTCCAAGTACTTTCGCCGCGCCCGATGCGCTGTGTGGCCCGTTGGCTGCTGGGCGCCCGCAGCAGGTCGGCGGCTGCGGCCTGCTGACACCGTAGCTCGATGCGCGTGTGTGCAGCCCCTCCGCCTTGTGTCGTTATGGATCGCCTTGTGGCATGCGCTGTGTCTTGCCCTCATGTGACGTGCTTTATCGTGCCCTCATTCAACGTGCCACGTTATGCCCCATGTGACAAGTGCTGCATCATATCACCATGCTACATGCACTGTGTCGCGCCCTCATGTGACATGTGCTGTGTCGCACCCCCATGTAACATGCTGTGTCATGCTCCATGTGGCAAGTGCTGTGTCATGCTCCCATGTGACGTACACTGTGGTGTCCTCGTGTGACAAATGCTATGATGTGCCCTCCTTTGACATGTACTGTGCCATGCCTCATGTAGCATGTGCTGCGTCGTGCCCCATCTGATATGTGCTTTATCACGTCACCATGTGTGGTGGCGTGCCCCTATGTGACATGCGCTGTGTCGCGTCCCCATGTGATGTGCTGTGTCGCACCGCCATGCGACCCCGCGACGCGACGCCACGCGTGCCTAGGCCCGACATGTGGCCATCCTCCCGTTGTGTCACGGCTGTGCCGTTCGACCCAGCGTGGCGTCTGCAGGCGTCTAGCACCCGTGACCTCCCCATCACCGGCTCCCCGCCCCGGCAGGCAGCTGCCGGCGCTGACCTCGCTGCAGAGCCTGCACATGGCCAACACGCAGCGCTCGCCGGCCAACCTGCCGCCCATTCTGGACCAGCTGGTGAACCTGACCGAGGTCGACCTGTCGCGCAACCGGCTGACCAAGATCCCCGACTGTCTGTTCACGGTGCCGAACCTGCGCCGGCTCAACATCAGCTCCAACAAGATCGGCGGCGAGCTGAATGTGGCCGTCGGTGGGTGGTCTCCGGCCGGCCGCCGGGCAGCACGGCGTCAGGGCGCCCCGGTCCGGGGTCAGGGGTTATGTCGGGGGCTCGGGGTTCGGGGGCGGGGGTCGAGGTCGAGGTCGAGGGTCGAGGGTCGAGGGTCGAGGGTGGAGGATCTGGGGTGGAGGATCGAGGCTGGGGTCGAAGGTCGAGGGTAGGAGTCGGGCGGTGGCCGGGAGCAGCTGCTGAGCCGCGGCGGATAGGGCGCGACGGGGAGCAGGCAGGGCGAGTAGGATGTTTGACGAGGAAATTGCCGTTGGGAGATTTTTAGGTGTTTGGCCTGTGTGTCAGGCTTTGTGAGAAAACGTTACCACTGGTGAAGGTATCGACTACTGAGAGGCACTTATGACTGTAGTATGCCTGTTTTGTGACCCCGTGAGCGGCGCGCCCCTCAAGCGTGGCGCGTGGGCCGCACGCCGGCGTGGGGCCAGCCCCGGCCGTGGCGGCCGCGGTCTGCGGGTCCCCGTCCCGCCCGAGGCGCCCGTGTCAGCGCCCGCCTGGCCGCCGCCGCCAGACCTGTGGACGCGACTGGAGGTGCTGAACGTGTGCCGCAACCAGCTGGTGTCGCTGCCGCCGTCGCTCTGCAAGCTGACCGCGCTGCGACGGCTGTACGTCAACGAGAACCGGCTGGACTTCAACGGCGTGCCGTCCGGCATGGGCAAGCTGGCGGCGCTCGAGGTGTTCTCGGCCTCCCACAACCGGCTCGAGATGATCCCCGAGGGACTCTGCCGGTCAGTGACCCCCGCGCTCCTGTGGGAAGGTCAGCAGTCACGGCATAGACGCTTGGCAGGGAGGAGGAGGGCTCAGCGGAGGGCGGGAGGGCCATGGGGGAGTGGAGCGAGGTAGCGGTGTCAGTGGTGGAGGGACGCTGCGGTCGCAGTGCGCTGGAGGTGGCTGAAGTGAAGCTGTGCTCGTGAGTGCACGGGCCTGCAGCGAGGCTGCAGAGGTTGCAGTCCAGGTTGCAGCGAATCGTAGCTCAGCGAATGTGGTCTCCGCGACGCTCTCAGTGAGGGATGACATGCGGTGACGATGCTACCTCTGTGGTGAGGTGACACGGTGTGCACCTCCGTCGCCAGGTGCGGAGCGCTGAAGAAGCTCATCCTGACCTCGAACCGGCTAGTGACGCTGCCCGACACCATCCACCTTATCTCCGACTCGCTGGAGGTGCTCGACCTGCGTGACAACCCGGACCTGGTGAGACGGCCGGACGGCCGCAGCTGCGGCTGCAGGTGTCTTGTCCTAGACGACCCGTGCTGTTGCCTTGTCGGCAAACGGAGGAAGACCGCAGCCTGTCTGTCTTCTATCCGTACTGTAACGACACAACCTGGTGCTCGTCGCGTGACCACGCTCCTGACCGCCTCTGGCGCCGAGGCAGCGGTCCGCGTGCCCCCCCCCCCCCCCCCCCCGACCCACCCCTGCTCGGGTAACCTCCCCTTGTCCTGCGCCGACAGGTGTTCCCGCCACGGCCGGCCTCCATGAAGCAGGGCGCCGGCGTCGAGTTCTACAACGTCGACTTCTCGCTGCACAACCAGTTGCGTCAGGCCGGCGCCGCCAAGGACCTGCCGCCCGCCCTCGCCGGTGGGTGGGTTTTGGGGTATGGGGCGTCGGCGGCGCTCTGCGCCTGGGTGCGACGCCATCGCCGTTTCATTCGCATAGTTTGTAAGGATGCAGAGTTGAAGCAACGGAAAATAACTTAAGATGAATACGGTGCTTTTATTGCGTACATCCCGCACCGTGCGGTGCGCGGAGTTGTTTGGATGTAAAGCAGGTGAGCTCGCGGGCCAGGCGTGTCGGCGCGCTAATTGGCGCAAGCCACGCAGACGCGGGGTGGACTGGAGCGGGCTGTGACGTCACTGGAGCGGACTGTGACGTCACTGGAGCGGACTGTGACATCACTGGAGCGGACTGTGACGTCGCTGGAGCGAACTGTGACGCCTCTAAGGCTGACTGGTGTCACGGGAGCGGACTGTGACGTCGCTGGAGCGGACTGTGACGTCACTGGAGCGGACTGTGATGTCACTGGAGCGGACTGTGACGTCACTGGAGCGGACTGTGACGTCTCTAAGGCTGACTGGTGTCACTGGAGTGGATTGTGACGTCACTGGGGGCGGACTGTGACGTCACTGGGGCGCCGGCAGGCCCTAGCAAGGACCCGATTGCACGCAAGCTTCGGCTGCGGCGGCGCAAGGACACCAACGACTCTGACAACCAGGACTCGGCCAAGATACTCAAGGTGATGTGGCCCGCCGCTCGTGTTTTGGCCAGCGGCCGCCGACGGCGTGCCCGTCCCTCGCGCGACCTCCGTTAATATGTTGTCATTGAGCAAGGCAGTCTAGACCGTTGGGCTCAGACACAGCCGATTTTCGAGGATGTCGCGTTTGCGGATGACGCTTTGCCTGGCACATCCCTCCGAACTGGTGGAGATGATTTGGCTCAGCTGGTAGCCGATGGTAGTGAATTGGTATCTCGGGTGGTCTCTAGCCCATATGGGGGTAGATTCGGGCCTGGCCATCGGTCAAGGTTTCTGTCGCTAACGGTGACAATGGAGAGGCTGCAACGCAGTTACTGAGCGAGGAAGAACAAATGTGTGGGGGGAGGGTCATGACGGTGCATTGACCAAGTTTGTAGGTACATTAGTTTGACGAAACGCCCCGTTGGTACGTGTGCAACTCTTTTTTGTGTAATTTGGCGCGCGGCTGCCAGAGGTCACGTTTTTGCGTGGTGGGCTCGTGGCGACAATGCGATGGCATTACTCAGCGTGCCATGTTCCGGTACGCAGGGCATGAAGGACATCGCCAAGGAGAAGGAGAAGACCACCAGCCAGGAGGGCGGCGCTCTGTATGAGTCGCTCAAGTGAGTAACGCGTCTAGGCGCCGCCGATCGGCTGGGGCCGACGCTTCACCCCTCCCCATCCCCCCGACCCGACCCTCCGAGGGCGAGGGTACGGCCGCTCGAGGTGGTCTCCGTCCGCCCGTCTCCGTCTGCTGGTTTAGTTGCGGGGCGGTGAAGTCGTGCAGTCTTTGCGCTCGAGTCACAGCTGATCTTCGCCGCCGCGGCCGCGGCTCTCGGCTGTCCGCTGTCGGCTGTCCGCTGTCGGCTGTGTGCGCGGTTGTGGGATGATAATGGTGGCGCGCGTGGTGATGCTGATGTTCCCGCGAGGCCTCACCGCTCGCCCATCTCGGGCGTCTGGCAGGCCGAAGAAGTGGGACGAGTCGCTGGAGAAGCCGTCGCTGGACTACTCTGAGTTCTTCGAGCCGGACGTCGGTCAGATCCCGGGCCTCACCGTCTGGGAGATCGAGAACTTCCTGCCCAACCAGGTGAGCGGCAGCGGAGCCAGCGGCTGGCCTCTCCGAGCCGGAGTCGGCCTACACCGCCGGACTCTGCGAGCCAGAGTGGGACGAGAGCACGCCCGTGTGATTCAGAGTCAGACGAGAGCATGCCTGTGTGAGTCAGTCGGACGAGAGCACGTCTGTGTGAGTCACATCGGACGAGAGCACGCCCGTGTGAGCTAGAGTCAGACGAGAGCACGCTCGTGTGAGTCAGAGTCAGACGAGAGCACGCCCGTGTGAGCCCGAGTCGGACGAGAGCACGCCCGTGTGAGTCAGTCTCCAGTGGCAGTCGGCCGGCACGCACAGTCAGACCCGACCTCAGCAGGGTCAGGTAGTCTGGCACGTTAGGGAAGTCTGTTTAACTGTCGCGCAGGGTGTCATATGATGCTCCTCCGCTCACCGCTGGCTCCCGTCTGTGCCCCAGATCGACGAGAGCATCCACGGCAAGTTTTACGAGGGCGACTGCTACATCATCCTGAAGACCTATCTGGATGACTCGAATGCGCTGACCTGGCAGATCTACTTCTGGATCGGCGAGAAGGCGACGGTCAGTGCCGACACTGCGTCACATTTTCAGACCCTCGCTTCACGTGCGCTGCAGGGTATGCCAGGATATGCTCCTGACCTGACCCGGTCTGACCACCTGCTGTGATCTGACCTCGCCTGGTCTGACCTGGCCCGATCTGACCGCTTGCCGTGATCTGACCTGGCCTGGTCTGACCGCCTGTCGTGATCTGACCTGGCCTGGTCTGACCGCCTGTCGTGATCTGACCTGGCCTGGTCTGACCGCCTGCCGTGATCTGACCTGGCCTGGTCTGACCGCCTGTCGTGATCTGACCTGGCCTGGTCTGACCGCCCGTCGTGATCTGACCTGGCCTGGTCTGACCGCCTGCCGTGATCTGACCTGGCCTGGTCTGACCGCCTGTCGTGATCTGACCTGGCCTGGTCTGACCGCCCGTCGTGATCTGACCTGGCCTGGTCTGACCGCCTGTCATGATCTGACCTGGTCTGGCGTGACCTCACCTGACCCGCCGCCGGCAGCTGGACAAGCGGGCGTGCTCGGCGATCCACGCAGTGAACCTGCGCAATAACCTGGGCGCCGACTGCCGCACCGTGCGCGAGGAGCAGGGCGACGAATCGGACGCGTTCCTCGACATGTTCGGAGGCGAGATCTCCTACATCGAGGGCGGCAGGACCACCAGCGGCTTCTACTCGGTGGAGGACGTGGTCAGTGGTCGCGCTGGGTGTGGAGCGCGGCCGGCGGGGGCGGCCGTGCGGAGAGGCGGGCCGCTGCCTCGGGCTCGGGCTCGGCTGCGGTGTGGGCGGTGGAGGCGAGCGACGGGCGGGCCGGTGGGAGCCGTGCGGGGCGGTCGAGAGCAGGCGGAGAGTAATGCTGCCACGAGGACCGACGGCGCCAGCAGTAAAGCCGCGGCACGTTCGGGGCGAATCAAATGCAAATGCAAGTGCAGGTGTCAAAGGCGGCTGTAACCCATTCCCTTCATGCAATGCCTTAGAATCATTGCGACACATTCATGGGCGCCGCGAATTTAGCTGGCTTCGGCACGCCCGATACACGCCAGACTCTCAGCGCAAACGCTGCCAGGGCAGGCGGGCGCCGGGGCTGACCGCAGTGGCGCCGCCGCCGGCAGGAGTTCCCCACGCGCCTGTACCGGGTGCACCCGAACGGCACCGGCCTCCACCTGGAGCCGGTCGAGGTCAGCCCGGAGGCGCTCGACCCGCGCTACGTCTTCCTGCTCGACGGCGGCAAGCAGATGTACGTGTGGTACGGGCACAAGTGCAAGAACACGCTCAAGAGCAAGACCAGGTGAGCGTGGAGGCGGAGCGTGACCAGTTCCGCGGGGGACTGGGCGTGCAGCCCCAGGGAATGGTGCCGATCCAGGGGCCAGGGAGCTACTCTCTCGTAACAGGATGGAACAGCAGGCAGGCGTGGCTAGAACTGTAACAGCTGAGCACATATCTTGCCTCCTCTCATAAAGAGCCCTGACGATCCATCGTAAGTGGTCCAATGTGCTCTGATCATGTCATAGGAGTGAGCTGGGAACTGTCAGCTGGGAGCGGCTTGTGACGGTGCTGATCATGTCATAGGAGTGAGCTCGGAACTGTCAGCTGGGAGCGGCTTGTGACGGTGCTGATCATGTGATAGGAGTGAGCTCGGAACTGTCAGCTGGGGGCGGCTTGTGACGGTGCTGATCATGTGATAGGAGTGAGCTCGGAACTGTCAGCTGGGAGCGGCTCGTGACGGTGCTGATCATGTGATAGGAGTGAGCTCGGAACTGTCAGCTGGGAGCGGCTTGTGACGGTGCTGATCATGTCGGAGGAGTGAGCTCGGAACTGTCAGCTGGGAGCGGCTTGTGACGGTGCTGATCATGTCGCAGGAGTGAGCTCGGAACTGTCAGCTGGGGGCGGCTTGTGACGGTGCTGATCATGTCATAGGAGTGAGCTCGGAACTGTCAGCTGGGAGCGGCTTGTGACGGTGCTGATCATGTGATAGGAGTGAGCTCGGAACTGTCAGCTGGGAGCGGCTTGTGACGGTGCTGATCATGTGATAGGAGTGCGCTCGGACTGTCAGCTGGGAGCGGCTTGTGACGGTGGCTGATCATGTGATAGGAGTGAGCTCGGAACTGTCAGCTGGGAGCGGCTTGTGACGGTGCTGATCACCGTCGCAGGAGTGAGCTCGGAACCGTCAGCTGGGAGCGGCTTGTGACGGTGCTGATCATGTGATAGGAGTGAGCTCGGAACTGTCAGCTGGGAGCGGCTTGTGACGGTGCTGATCATGTGATAGGAGTGAGCTCGGAACTGTCAGCTGGGAGCGGCTTGTGACGGTGCTGATCATGTCGCAGGAGTGAGCTCGGAACCGTCAGCTGGGAGCGGCTTGTGACGGTGCTGATCATGTGATAGGAGTGAGCTCGGAACTGTCAGCTGGGAGCGGCTCGTGACGGTGCTGATCATGTGATAGGAGTGAGCTCGGAACTGTCAGCTGGGAGCGGCTTGTGACGGTGTCCGCGGCGCTTTTCAGGCTGATGGCTGAGAAGGTCAACAAAAACGAGCGCAAGAACGAGTCGGACATCGGCACGTACCACCAGGGCGAGGAGTCGCCCGAGTTCTGGGCGCTGATCGGTGTGCCCGACGACGAGGAGCCGCCCGCCGAGGACGAGATAGAGGTGGGCAGCGGCTGGACGCGAGGTAGAGATGAGTAGCCGGGTGAAAGGCAGAGGCGGGCAGCGGCCGCGTGCGAGGTACAGATGGGCAGCGGCCGGGTGCAAGGTACAGGTTGGCAGCGACCGGGTAGGAGGATAGAGGTTGGCAGCGGCCGGCTGCGGGGTAGTTGTGGGCACCGGGGTGAGAGGTATAGGCGGGCAGCCGCCGGATGCCAGGTGGAGGTGGGCAGCGGCTGGGTGCGAGGTGGAGGTGGGCAGCGGCCGGATGCCAGGTGGAGGTGGGCAGCCGCCGGATGCCAGGTGGAGGTGGGCAGCGGCCGGGTGCCAGGTGGAGGTGGGCAGCGGCCGGAAGCGAGGTGGAGGTGGGCAGCGGCGGGGTAGGAGGATAGAGGTGGGCGACGGCCGGGCGCTAAGGGGACGTTAGAGTGAGTGCTAGCGATTTGAGGGGGACATGGTCGGAGGGACGTGAGTAGCGGGAGGGCATACGTAGCGGCGGGAGCGATGCGGAGAAGTGACATTATGAGGGCGAGTGGCGGATTAAGACGAAGTCTAAGTGGGAAGGTGGAGAAATGGAAGGTGGATGAGGGCAATGTATGAGTGGAATAAGTGTGGAATGAGGAATAAGAAATGTCAGGACTGACCAGGGAAGATGTAGATAAAACCAACATTGGGTAACATAACAATTCCAGTTGTGATCAACTGGAGAACAGCGCCATTGAGGGGCAGGCATAGGCTAAGATGAACTTTTAGGCTGGACCCTGCACCCCCCTAGGTGTCGATACGGCCTAAAGCCCGGCAGTCAGTCATAGAGCCAGTCTGCGGCAGATTGAGGGAATACTACGCGCTTGGGGCGCGACAAAGGTTAGAACCATTGGCGCCGGAGCGGACGGGGTGATATGCTCCCGCAGATGGTAATATGGAGGGTGAGGCCGATCGGGGTCAGAGCGGGAGCGAGGTCAGGGACCGGCCGGTCAACACCAGACTTACACCTTTGGGGCCGCCGGGCGGCCGCTTTGGGTGCTTATTCCATGCGGCCGACCGGCTCCGCCATGTGGCCTGTGTCGTCCGCCACAGCCGCTGGCTGGTGACCACCTCCCGTCACGTCACGTCACGGGCGCGCCGGCAGGAGCACGTGCCGGAGGACTTCAAGCCGAAGAGGCCGCACCTCTACCAGGTGGGCCTGGGCATGGGCTACTTGGAGCTGCCGCAGGTGGAGCTGCCGCAGGGCAAGATGACCAAGGAGCTGCTGGTCAGCAAGCACGTCTACGTGCTGGACTGCTTCGGCGACGTGTTCGTCTGGTGAGCGACGCTCCGGGGGTGAGGGAGAGGGACGGGGAGGGAATATGCTGGGCAGTTTCTCCCAGCATGTTGCGGTCCGTTGCGGCCTGGTCAGGAATGGTGGAGTGTGATCCGACGCCTGCTTGAGTCTCAGATGGTCAGAAGCAGAGCAGTAGCATATAGGCAGTTAAAAGTGCAGCGCGCACTTCGCAGGCAGTGCCGTCTGGAGTCAGTAAAGGGTGTCAGGGTAAGGCGGGTACAGATCAGAAAATCGGAAGTCGGTTCAGAAGAGTGTGAGAGGTGTGTGGTGGTCATAGGTGTGTAAAATGTGTGTGGTGACCTCAGAGGTGTGTGGGAGGTGTGTGGTGACCGCAGAGGTGTGTGGGAGGTGTGTGGTGACCGCAGAGGTGTGTAGAAGGTGTGTGGTGACCGCAGAGGTGTGTGGAAGGTGTGTGGTGACCTCAGAGGTGTGTGGGAGGTGTGTGGTGACCGCAGAGGTGTGTGGGAGGTGTGTGGTGACCTCAGAGGTGTGTGGGAGGTATGTGGGAGCTGTGTGATTGTCACAGAGGTATGCGGGGACCTGAGAGGTGTCTGGGAGGTGTACGGTAGTCATGGGTGTGTGGTAGCTGTGTGATTGTCACAGAGGTGTGTGTGTGTGTGTGGTGACCTCAGAGGTGTGTGGGAGGTGTGAGGTAGTCATAGGAGTGCGGGAGCTGTGTGATAGTCACAGAGGTGCGTGGTGGCCTCAGAGGCGTGTAGGAGGTAGCCTGGTGTGCGCGCGCGGTGTGACGCCGCGCGCGCGTGCGCTGACGTGCTCTCCGTGTGTAGGATCGGCAAGAAGTCTACCCGGCTGGTGCGCGCCGCCTCGCTGAAGCTCTCGCAGGAGCTGGTCTACATGAAGGACCGCGGCCTCAACGCCATCGTCACTGTCGTCAAGGAGGGCACCGAGTCGCAGGTGGGTCGAGCCGGAGTCGTCGGCGGGTCGAGTGGCGGGCGAGCTCATCTTCGGGGGCGTTGGCGGGGTCACGTGGTCGAATCAGGGGCGAATCGTGTTTTGTCCAGGTCGCGGGTTGTTTGGATCACGACCGGAGTCGCGGATGGGTCGAGTCGTGACTCGGGTCGGTTGAGCGTTGGCTCGGAGACGAGTGGAGCTGGGGACAACACAGTCGTTGGCCCCCGTTGTGGTCACCGCAGCAGGAAGGGAGCTCAGGTGAAGGTCAGGGCAGCTGACGCCGTCCAGATGCCTGTTACTATGTATCCGTAAAAGCTCTCGCTCATGTACGGGGCACGATGCCCCCCCCCCCTCCACGCTCCCGTAAAGGATGCCCCGTTCTCTCCCCCCCCCCCCTTCACCCAGGCGTCTGGATTCTGTCGTTGCTGTTCGTCACCGTCAGGTGGAAATGACGGCGGCAGTGCCAGCGGCACGCTCAACATGCCAATGGCTTGACGGCTACTAAACAGTGATGAGAGAAGGAGAACGGATTGGTTGTCAGGGATAGCGGACACGTCAGTTCATGGAGGATGTGTGGGTGGGATGGGTTGCAAGCGCTTTGACCCGGTCGCCTGGAGTCTGTGACGCAGTACTTGACCTCAGGGCTCCTTAGCTCGCCGTCACGTGTCTGATGCGTCATCAGACCGATGCCGCTCCTCCGCTGGCGGGCGCTCGCAGCCGAGGTTCGGACGGCGCCCCACGCCGAGAGTGGTGTTTGGCTCGCGTTTACACTCGCCCGCCGCACGCCCGCCGCACGTGTTCGTACCCGCCCACCGTCCACTTCACGCCCGTCCGCCACCCGCTTCCACACCCACCCGCCGCGCGCCCCGCGGCACGCGTTCACACCCGCCCGCCGCCTGCCTTCACACCCGCCCGCCGCCCGTCTTCACACCCGTCCGCCGCCTGCCTTCACACCCGCCCGCCGCCCGTTTTCACACCCGCTGCGCCACTGCCGCAGGTGTTCAAGTCCAAGTTCGTCGGCTGGGATGACGTGATCGCCGTGGACTTCACGCGAACGGCTGAGTCTGTGCGCCGCACGGGCGCCGACATCCAGCAGTGGGCGCGCCGACAGCAGACGCGCACCGACCTGTCGGCGCTCTTCACGCCCCGGCAGGCGCCCGTGCCGCTGGCCGAGGCGCAGCAGCTGGTGGACGAGTGGAACGAGGACCTCGAGCAGATGGAGACGTTCGTGCTCGAGGGCAAGAAGTTCGTCCGCCTGCCCGAGGATGAGTTTGGTGAGGAATAGGATGAGTCTGGTGATGATGAGGGTCGAGTTCGGTGAGGACAAGGGCCGAGTTTGGTGAGAACAAAGGCCGAGTTTGGTGATGTCGAGGGTCGAGCTCGTTGAGGACGAGGACCGAGCTCAGTGAGGAGATCGTGCCGCTACGTCCGTGAGACGCCGGTCCACATCAGGGCTCCCTGGTCCACATTGCACACTGGGCAGTGATTTGGCTGTTCATTGCCGCTGAATGTGAAGCGCTTACGTCAAAGGTGGGCGACAGTATCGCCGGGGTGGTCGGCTCGGTCCATCCGCGACGTAGTTCTCCTGCTCCACCAGACGGGGGGCTGTCGCACTGCCCACCATACTCTACGTGCGCTGCGTGTGCCTTGTTTCACGCTCTGGCCGCTGTTCCCCGCTCGATGCTCGTCTTGGAGTGTGGAACACGTTGCACGTCATGCTCCATATTCTGACACATCCGTGCATTGTACGGCACACTGTGCGACCCGGTTGCGACCTATATCCAAGTGACCCGACTGTGGCCTGCGCTCACACCACATGACGCGCAACCATCCCTGCGTCCGTCTTCCGCGGCCACCTTACCTGGCGAGCATCACCCCTGCATCCTTGTAGCTGTATCGACAAACATCCTCCGTCACTGCCAACTGGCGGCGACCTCAGCCGCCGCCGCCCGACTCTGACCAGCGGCTGCCGCTCGGCGCAGGCCACTTCTACTCGGCGGACTGTTACGTGTTCCTGTGCCGCTACTGGGTGCCCGGCCCCGTGGAGGAGGGCGAGTCGGAGGAGGACGTCGAGGACGACTTCCAGTGCGTCGTCTACTTCTGGCAAGGCCGCCACGCCTCCAACATGGGCTGGCTCACCTTCACCTTCAGGTGCGTGTCGGCCTGACCGCACGTGTGTGGGGGTTCTCGGCTGCTGTCGTGCGGCGAGACGGGGGCGGGGCTGGCGCGCGCCGCCAGCAGGTGCCAGCGCTGAATCGCGTGTGTATGCCGCACGGCCACGGGCCCATGTTTGGCGTTGGCAAGCGTCGCCTGACGTGTCGTCGATGGTTTGCATCGAGTTTGACTCACATGAGAGGCACGACCGTGCTCTTTGCATCGAGTTTGACGCCCTTGACTGGCACGAGCGTGCTCTGTTCTTCTGCGGGTAACAGGCATTGTTATTGATGGAGATTACCGTGGAGTTGTCCTGGTTGTTTGGGTGACTCGTAAGTTGTAGCCGATGGCCTTCACATGTGATCCCAACGACGTTCCCGCCCAGAGCATGGCGGCCGGCTCGCAGCTCCCGCCGTCCATCTCCGCTCCCTCCGAAGCCGGCGCGAGCCGGGCCTGGCCCGACCTTACCACGGACCGGCCGACCGGCGCGCTCAGGGCTCCCCACGCGCCCGGGACCCCATGTCGTACCCGAGCCGAGCCGCCGTCGGCACCTCCCCCCGGTCCGTGCCGTTCGCCTGATGTTCGCCCGTCGGTCGCCGGCAGTCTGCAGAAGAAGTTCGAGTCGCTGTTCGGCGAGAAGCTGGAGGTGCTGCGCATGTATCAGCAGCAGGAGCCGATGAAGTTCATGTCGCACTTTAAGCGACACTTCGTCATCCACCAAGTGGGTCCCCCTCTCCGCGGGACGGGGGGGGGGGGGGGGGGGAGAACTACGTCGGGTTGTGAATGCACAGTGTTCGCAAGGATGCGATCTCCGTGGCAACAACGCTTTGCCGCTGTGGCCATGGAAGCATGCATGAACGCCTTTGATACGAGGAGTGAGGTCTTGGCCAATTGTGAGCTGTCCAGATCGTTTTAGATGCATGCTGCCCAGTCCTTGCCAAGGCAAATTATTTCTACAGAACCGTTGAAGATTGTCATGCATACTGAAGCAATGCGAAGCAGTGTCACGTTGTTTCAGTGCCACTCTGGTTTCGATAAAGGCATGTTGCCGAAATATCAGCCCATTTGTATCTTCATTCTCTGGGCTTTTCTCCGAGGAGTAAGGCCAATACCATGTTTGTTTTTTGACGCTCCTGATGAGCAGTTTGACGATGAATGTTGTGGGAAGCGAGTGGCTGTTTGAACAAAATCGATACCATCACGCGCAGCCCTACGTCGCAACCAACATCAGAACCCGTCCCGCTCCGGTGGTGAGGGGGGGGGGGGGGGGCTGTGACGGCTGCTGACCGGCCGCCGCCTCGTCGGCAGGGTCGGAGGAAGGCGGCGCCCCCGCTGCCCCGACACCAGGAGCCGGCCGCCGACGCGCCGGCCGGCCCGGCAGTCGAGTTCTTCCACCTGCGCTGCAACGGGAACGCCATCTGCTCGCGCTGCGTGCAGGTGGCGCCCGACGCCAGCCTGCTCAACTCCGAGTTCTGGTCAGTGAGATGCGGAACGCTTAGCTGTCAGCTTAGGTCAGGTAGATGCTGAACGCGCCCCGCTGAACGTTAATCTCCTTCAGTAATGCTTCAGATGTGAGCTCGGGTCAGTTGCTGAACGCTCAGCTGTGTTCTCGGGCCAGTTAGATGCTGGGCGCATCCCGTTCAACGTTGAGCTGGGTTCAGTTAGATGCTGAACGCCGCCCGTTCAACTGTGGTTTCGGGTCACTTGGATGGGGAATGCACCCCGCTCGGCTGCGAGTTCTGGTCGGTTGAATGCTGAACGCTGCCTTAGCTCTGGGAACTGGTCGGTCAGGTGCTGAAAGCCGCTGGCTGCGGACTTGGCTGGTGAGATTCTGAACGCCATGTGTTTGTCAGCGTTGGGGTCGGTGACTCGTGCGCCGTGTGTTACCACGCCTCCCACCGCCTCCAGCTACATCCTGAAGGTGCCGTTCAGCCAGCCTGACCAGGAGCAGGAGACGGGTATCGTGTACGTATGGCTGGGCTCAAAGGCAGACCCGGAGGAGGCGCGACTGGCGGAGGAGATCGCCACCGAGCTGTACGACACGGTGAGCACCGCTGTCGACCGCCGCGGTGAGGGGTGCAGAAGGTGGTGGTGCTAGTGAGACAAACTGTTGTTGGAGTTATTGAGGTGGCGACAGCGGCAGGTGTCGATTACGCAGTGCTAACCCGGCGTGGTGCAGTGGTGCAGTTCATGCTGGGTTTTTTTTTTTAGTTGGCCAGTGATGCGTCTTGCGTGACCTTGCCGTCCCGTATCAGAAAATATCCGATTGTGATTCATGTATATGCATCTGTTGATTAAGACGCGTAACGTTTCGCCCTCCCCCGCCCCCATCCCGTCCGCAGGAGCACTACAGTCTGCAAGTGCTGAACGAGGGTGAGGAGCCAGAGAACTTTTTCTGGATTGGCATCGGCGGCAAGAAGCCATACGAGACAAGCGCCGACTACATGCGTTACAGCAGGCTCTTCCGCTGCACCAACGAGAAGGGCTACTTCTGCATATCGGAGAAGTGCAGTGACTTCTGCCAGGTACCAGACTCAGTGATATAACAACGCGCATTCTGTTGATGCTTGAGGCGTGGCAAGGGCGATTCAAGCGTGGGACTAGCTTTGATGAGCTTATGCTCCTGTTGGAGAAAATCTTCATGTGTGAAGATCTCTGAAGATCAAAACGTCATGGTTTCTGTTGTTGTAACTAGGTTTTAATTCCGCGTCAAATGCAGTGATTACTTCCGCCCATTCTGTTTTATGTGTGTGTGTGGTAGGCCCTCTCCACCTGGGAGTGCTGTAACACGCACCGCCCTTCCGCCAGGACGAGCTGGACGACGACGACATCATGATCCTCGACAACGGGGAGCAGGTGTTCCTGTGGATGGGACCGCGTTGCAGCGAGGTCGAGGTCAAGCTGGCCTACAAGAGCGCCCAGGTACGGAGCGCGCCGTTCGGCCGTCCTGTCCGCGTGCTCTCGCCGACTGAGGGCAGGGGCTGCCCTCCTGATCTCGGGGTGGGGCTGGAGCGCACGGGGGCGCCGCCCGCCGAGCCGCGCTCACGTGATCTCGATCCGCCGGCGCCGCCAGAGCCGGAGAGCACGGTGTTTTGGGCTGGTGGGATACCGCGACATGGCATGATTCGACTGCGTATTGACAGAGCACCATTGATCACTTGGGCTGGGCGTCGGAACTGAGAGACTACCCCTCCTCCTTCGTCCGTATAAGGGCCGTACTCCGCGCTCCCGCACCACACCCTAACACCCAGTCCTGCGCCTCCTCCCTCCCTCCGCCGTATCCGGATCGCGGTTTGATGTCCCAGCGCCAGCACCACACCCAAACACCCAGTCCTGCACCTCCCCCTCCCTCCGTCCGTATTCGGATCGCGGTCTGATCTCCCAGCGCCAGCACCACACCCAAACACCCAGTCCTGCACCTCCCCCTCCCTCCGTCCGTATCCGGATCGCGGGTTGATGTCCCAGCGCCAGCACCACACCCAAACACCCAGTCCCGCACGCCTGCTCCGACATTACGCATCCCGTCTTGTATCTGGCATCGTCGATTTACCCCGGCTAGATGTAGACTGAGCTGCTGCAGCACATCATTGTGTAAATGTTCGTCTGTGTATCTCGTTAGTTCGTGGTGACCTCCCCGTACACTGCGCCTGCGCGTATAACATATGACGCCGTGCATCTGCATGATGGGTTATGTTAATCGACACTCGTTTGCCGTTATGTTCTACAATTAGACAAAACTTGCGTAAGTCGGCGCTTTTCGCAATCGCCATTCGTTACAGCCAAACAACGCTTCATGCGTGCCGTCTGATGCGGTGAAAAGGAGCACCTCTGTTCATAGATGGGTGAGGGTTCTATAAATGGATGGGCACCCCAGCCAAAGGGTCATGCACTGTATAACATCCTCACGTACGTCACGTGTACATCCAGCACCTGCGCCTCATGTCCCGTGTGATGCTCACCTCCCGCTACGGCGTGCACCAGGTGTACATCCAGCACCTGCGTGTGAAGCAGCCGGAGCGGCCGCGCAAGCTGTTCCTGACGCTGAAGGGCAAGGAGTCGCGCCGCTTCTACAAGTGCTTCCACGGCTGGAGCGCGCGGCCACAGAGCAGCGCGTGCTAGGCGGCTGCCTGCGCCGCGCCCAGGGCGGTCGCTCGTCCGAAACGACAGACGGTGCCGCACACGCTGTCCGCAACGTTTTTTTTTTTTAGGGGGACGATGTGGACGTGAATCGAAAACGAGAATCGTGAATCCGGGGGGGAGGGGTTGGCTGTGCTGCAAAAGCGCAACCAGGGTTTTCTTGTGGGAGGGCGACTTGAAGTTCATTGAGAACGCATGCTGATTTTAACTTTGTCATGAGCTGCCTGTGGTGCTAGAAATGCAGACCTAACGGGGTGGGGGCGGGCTCCCCTGTGCCTATCGGAGATTGGGGGGCGCCCCTTCCTCCACCGGCTCGCGCCCAAGGCACAAGCCGTGGCGCGCGACGACGCAGTACAGCAGACGGGGGAGAGACGTCGTTCGGCAGCGGTGAGCAACCACTGCCAGCGCTGTCCCGCGCCACCGGGTTACGGGTTCGAGCATTGTTACCGATGGTGCGCCCCCGTACCGTACTGTTTAGGTCAGCGTGAGCGATTGCAACGCCAATAATACAGCAGCGGCACTCGCCGCGGAACGGGCGATTACTACCAAGCGAAATGAAAATGATTCGCCACGGCATGAGAAACAAGAAGATTTTGAAGGCGTGTGGCATCACTTCCGCGCTGCCATACCAGGGTCTGTGCCCAGCAGTCCCCGTAGCTTTAACTAACCAACCGTGGTTTTCGTTCAAACTGTAGCTCCGTGGTTTGTTTTCGTGTTTGTCTTGTGCCTTCGCCGTGCCCCTGCGCGGCACCTGATGTTGACGAATGCTGGCCGTTGCTTTTACACCGAGTATTTATTAGAAATAAAGCTGTGATATCGCCAGTGTTTTCTTGATATTGGCCGACAGGCATGGGCGTAGAACGCTCCCACCAAGCTCACGCCGGGGTCCGCGCGTGCACTGAGCCAGCCCAGGCAGCGCTCATGCGTGGCGCTCTGGCGGGTCTGGCTCACGCCTTCTTTGCCTGCTTTGCTCCCGGGGTTCCTGGGCGTTCAGTTGGTGAAACCAGCGACAGCAACTCAATTTCTGTTGTCCAGCGTGCGATATTGAAGTTGGAGTGAGTGATCATTATATATGGTGAGCTTGCGGATGGAGGGCATGCATTTCTGCGCAACTCCCGCTAACGTGCCTGCTCTGATCCGGACTTGTCGATGGTCATGGAATATCCTACTACCGCACTCGAGGTCATGAAAAATTGCAAATATCTGTTTTGCATTGACGCAGCTCGTCAGTTGCACTGGTTTTGGGGCACGTGTGGTGCTGCGGGGATGCTGGGAGGCGCGAACGCGACTTTGCCGTTCACCCCATTGCCCCGAGTGGTGTGAAAGATTCACGATCGGTGACCGTTACATCCAAACCACCGCTTCCGGGCATGGACGCAGGAAGAACAACTGTCCGGCCTGGCAGACGGTCGCCAATGCGGAGACCACATGGGTTTTGAAGGCATCCACGTCTGGAGCATGTGGTTTTACGCCTCCTGTAATTTCAAGCAAGAGGGTTCGCTGCTGCGCCGCAGTAATGCGAGCCGGCAGTGAACAAATGCCTCCGCGTCCACGGCAGGTGGGAGCAGGTGATAATAACGTTGGTCATGCCGTTCGGCGGCCTGGAAATAATAACGTTCGGCGGCCTGGAAATAATAACGTTCGGCGGCCTGAAAATAATAACGTTCGGCGGCCTGGAAATAATAACGTCCGGCGGCCTCGAAATAATAACGTTCGGCGGCCTCGAAATAGTAACGTTCGGCGGCCTCGCAACGTGTAGCCAAATGCACCATATTTGCTGCCGGACCGCAACGCCGCCATTGCTCGGGAGCAGGCCGCCCTGCCGTCACATACACTTCTTGCAACATCCGATGATCGCCAGGTCAACAACCAGCTCCAAAATATACGGTGCCTGGGCGTAAGCCGCGGAACTTTCCTGCTTGAAGCGGTAACTGCAGACCGCAGCCTCCCCAATCCTGCAATCCTGTCTTCGCATCCTGCCTCCCGGTCGTTGACCCCTGACGCTACACCTCCGCAGAAAAAGAAAATCTGAGCTCGGCAAGACAGCAGCCCGTCAGCAGGACAGCGCGGCCCAGCGCCGAGCTGGGGCCACGCCTGCTCTGGCCATGCGCGTTAACGCCTGAATTGGTGGCATGTTGTCACCTGCTCGCCGCACAGCCCGCCAGCCGTTGAGATTGCCAGTTTTGCACCGCAGTTCAGAAGCGGATCGAGATGGTTTTCATGACTCGGCGAAAGACCAATGCGTTTTTAATCCATCGGCATTGCAGTTGGCCTCGGACATGTTCGGGTACCCGACCGATGGTTCCGGAAACAAAATATTCGCGGAGTCTGAACGCCGACCTGCGCTCACCGTTCCTGTCCTACAACCTCGTCGGCCTCCCCCACAACGAAACCCTATCCTGCTCCAACGTGACGTGTATTGGGACCTCGGCACACCACAGGCGCCAGCGATCACTCCTCGTCGTCTTCGTCTCCTCCGCCGCCGCCGCCCGACTGGGCACGCTTCATCTTCTTCCGCTTGACGCGGCCCGGCCGGCCGCCCTCGAACGGCGACGTCAGGCTGAAGTCGATGTGCTTCTGCGAGTCCAGGCGCACCACGAACGACGGCACGTTCACCACCTGCTTGCGCACTCTGCCGGAGGACAAGGCGGAGTGAGGACGCGCTGAGCGCCGGGGGACGCGGTGCGGGGCAGATGCCTGACCGAGGCACAGCAGCGGTGCGGGGCAGACGCCTCACCGAGGCACAGCAAGAGCACCGTACATCAGCCCGTGGTATGACGACCGCGACGAACGGCAGCTCCTCACGCATGCGTTCTGATGGCGTGGCCGAACGAAACTCAAAACACAGCTGGACCCAGACGCTTCGCCGCTGCAGCTCTGGCTGAACTGGGGACTGACACTCGCCAAATCTAGCAATAGTTCACCACGTACCCCGGGTTCGCTCCCATGGGTAACAACCGTTGGCCGCGACTAGCGTGGCCAAGTGGGTTGCGCGAGGGGCTCGCCAGCAGCTCAGTCACTCGCCAGGCTGGCAGACGTTGACCGCGAAAAACACAGTCAAGTGGCCTGCATTTCAGTGCTTCGTGAACAGACGTTGACCGCGATATACGCAATCAATTGGCCTGCATTTCAGTGCTTAGCGAACAGACGTTGACTGCGATATACGCAGTCAAGTGGCCTGTGCGTAATCGGTTCATGCCGCTGGCAGCTCTTCCGAGTCGCGAGTTAGCAGCCGCTCAGGACCACGCTTTCGTCCTGGAAACGCCAGGGGTCTCGTTCCAGTGATACTCTTCACCCCATCGAACTGCTCACGCACAACGCACTCATCGACAGCGGGCAAACACCACACGCATCAAATCCCCGAGCCAGCGCCGGCGACATCAGCGATGCGTCGCCCGCCGCGCTTGTCCCCGGCTTTGGGAATGGACTGGGCCAGGAGTGAGCCCAGTCTCAGGACAGCCGGGCATGCTCTGACCCCGCGCGGCCGGGCCGGGCCACGAGCGGCGCCGGCCACAGCGCCGCACGGGGTGTGGTCCGCGGCCACGCGCTCACCACCTCCCCCGCCCACCTGATGTGGCGCTGGCGGATCAGCACGCGGGCGTGGTGGATCGACTTGGCTAGTCCCAGCTTGAACACCTGCGTCTGCAGGCGGCGCTCCAGGAAGTCCTCCACCTTGAGGCCGAGCACGAAATCGAGCTTCATGCGCGACTCCTCCAGCACGCCGATGCGCACCAGGCGGCGCAGCAGGGCGTTACCTGGCGCAGCGCAGGGCGACAGGTCACAACACGCCCGGCGCACCAGCGTCGCACACTCTCCGTCACGGGCGACGTGTGTGTCCACCTGATGATGCGAGTTTGTGACATGACAAACCCACGGTAACGATGGAGCGATCGCTGTCGCCGGCAAGTCGAGGAGCACGCGGCCAGAGGACGCCAGCGACTCCGTTTGGGCCGGCAAAACGGGACAACTCAGCATCCGCACACGCCTGGATACCAGGTCAAGCCACCGACTCCACTCCGGGGACTACTGGTGACTCCCCTACACTATGAGATTCAGGCACTTATATCACCACTACATCTGCCAATGTGAGCATCCAGTTTTAACAGTTCATAGCGCGTTCAACCTCACTGGTCGACTGCAGACCCGTGCCCGCCCCGGGGGCACGAGCGAGCGTCGCACGTGGCCGTCACCAGCCGGTGCCGCCCACTGACCTTCGAACAGGCGGCCGGGGTCCTTCTCCTCGAGCGTGAGGAGCTCACGGGCGCGTTTGCGGATGCGCGCCAGCGTGTACTTGACACGCCACACCTCATGCTTGTTCTTGAGGCCGTACTCGCCGATCAGCTTCAGTTCCTGGTCGAGCCGAGTCTTCTCGTACGGACGGCGCGGGGTGGTGTACGTCTTCCGACGCACCGTCGGGATGCGGTGGTTCACCATGACTGCGCCCTAGTCTGGTGCGGGCTCTGCAGGCCAAGGGCAGCGCACGTGAGCGCCGTGGTCCGCGCCGACAGGACCCTCAGGGGCCGTGGTTTGGCGTTGGCTTTCACCAAAAGCAGATGACTGTATCCAGCTGATGATGTGGATCTACCATGTTGACAAACCCACGGTAAAGAAGGACCAATCACTGTAGCCGGCAAGTCGGGAAGCACACGGACAGCGTGGCCATGGCTCCATATTGGGCCGGCAGACTGACTCAATGACTCCTGGGTGCCAGCCCAGAGACAGACAGCCATGTGTGTATCTCAATGGGCACTCTGAGCACCTTTGAACCCACAATCATAGGCCTGATAACAATTCAAACCACTTTGTCCTGATATCTCAATTCAATACAGCACCTGCCTTCCATTTTACCCAATTACACAAGGGTATGTTCAAGTTGCACAACCATAGGATACTATTATGTTAAATCATAATAGTCATATCATTATATGATTAATAATCAGACGTGAGAGGACTTAAGAAAACATTGCACTAAATCTTTGCTTCTTTGGCCAAGATAACATTACAAGGCAAATTATAGGTATTTATGCCTGAGACTGTCAGTGTAGCATTGTAAATACTTGATGGATTGCCTACCAACCTCCTGACACCAGTGGTAAACAATGTACCAAATTTGGGTCATTCAGGCTTACGGCACATGTAATATCTACAGGCTAATCAGGACCAGAACCAAAAAACAGAACATGAGACATCTTGACAGAATCTTATTGGGGCAGAAACCAGGCAAAATACAAGTTTTGGGGTAGGCTTTGAATTTTACAGGCAGAAGTACACAGAAATGGGGCTACTTATGATGTTCTGAGGCAGGTTATTAACCTGGGCAATGGTAACTTAGACACATTTGTCTCACCTAGGTCATACCTGTCTGTTACTACCATGTTGTAAAGAAAATTTAGTGTTTCCTTCAGCCATTTTTCACCTAGCACATGCATCAAAGTGCTAGTTGTAAACAAATATTTCTATCAATAGGAGAACAAAATTGCATACAAAGTTAAATCTAAATGATAAACCCTCATTTACAATTTGGCTCTTAATTCCGGCAAATTACCACCACTTCCATGCATTGCCCTTTTAATGTTGCAATTTTAGCATCTGCAAAAATAAGATCATGAGCATGCTTTAGCCCCCCACCACCTTTCATCTAACCCCCCCCCCCCCCCCACCCCCAAGCCCCTGCAGCTGGCAGAAGAGCTGGCTCCCTGATGGGGGCAGAACCATCTTGTTGACCATCTTAACTTAGCTTGTTGACCATCATAACTTAAACATCTTGTTGACCAGTCCATCAGGCTTTGCAGGCTGGTTTACGGGCACCGTGTGCCACTTAA